GTAATTCCAACTTGGATTTGAAGAATTTGTTAAGCCGGGCGTAAACATTTTTCTTCATCTAATGAAATGATTTTTGATTTTGTTAAGCCCGGCGTAACAAATTAACTTACAGTTTTGAAATTTTGTGCTGTAATTCCACTTGGATTTGAGGCATTTGTTAAGCCGGCGGGGTAACATTTTTCTTTCATCTAATGAAAATGATTTTTTTATTTTGTTAAGCCGGCGTAACAAAATTAAACTTTGAAATTTTGTGCTGTAATTCCACTTGGATTTGAGAATTTTGTTAAGCCCAGCGGAACATTTTTCTTCATCTAAATGGAAATTATTTATCTTACAATTAAAATTATTTTCCATTTTGTTAAGGGCCGGCCAATAACAATTTGTCTCACAGTTTGAAATTTTTCTTTTGTAAGTATTTTAATTGATTTGAAGAATTTGTTAAGCTGGCGTAACATTTTCCCTTCAATCTAATTGAAAATGATTTTTATTTTGTTAAACCGGCATAACAAATTTTAATCTTACAGTTTGAAATTTTGTGTGCTGTAAATTCCACTTGGATTTGAGAATTTGTTAAGCCGGCGTAACATTTTGTCTTCATGGCACTAATGGAAAATTATTTATCTTACAATTTAAATTATTTTCCATTTAGTTAAGCCGGCATAACAGTTTGTCTCACAGTTTGAAATTTTTCTTTGAAATATGTTTATTTGATTGAAAGAAATTGTTAAGCCGCCGCGTAACATTTTTCTTCATCTAATGAAATGATTTTTTTGATTTTTGTTAAGGGCCGGCGTAACAATTCAACTTACAGTTTGAAATTTTGGTGCTGTTTGAGAATTTGTTAAGCCGGCGTAACATTTTTCTTCTTATGAAAATGAATTTTTTGATTTTTGTTAAGCCGGGCGTAACAATTCAACTTACAGTTTGAAATTTTGTGCAGCTGTAATAACAACTTTGGATTTGAGAATTTGTTAAGCCGGCGTAAACGTTTTTTTCATCTAATGAAAATGATTTTTTGATTTTGTTAAGCCGGAGTAACAATTCAAACTTGACAGTTTGAAATTTTGTGGCTGTAATTCCACTTGGATTTGATGATTTGTTAAGCTGGCGTAACATTTTTCTTTCATTTAATGAAAATGATTTGTTTATTTTTTAAGGGCCGGCGTAAAACAAATTAACTTACAGTTATGTCAATTAAAATCTCTGTTATTAAAAGATACAAATACATTTATGTTGATTTTTTGCTTGTCTTTGTTCTTTTCTTTCTCAAAAATGGTAAAAAGGGCATCCTTTTTGTAGTGTAATTTGGCCATAATTGGTACGTGAATTGGGAATGAGTGGACATTCCCTTTTTAAAATAGAAATGGTTCTATGAAGTTTGAACACTGTAGGACAAATGGAACTTAAGTTATGCTCCAGAAACTGTTTTCAGTTTTAAGGTCATAGTGACCTTGACCTTTGACCTTGTGACCCCAAAATCAATAGGGGTCTTCTACCAAATATGGACAATCATCCTATGATGTTTGAACACTGTGGGCCAAATGGAACTTAAGTTATGCTCCGGAAACTGTTTTCAGTTTTAAGGTCATAGTGACCTTGACCTTTTGACCTTATGACCCCAAAATCAATAGGGTCTTCTACCCAATATGGACAATCATCCTATGAAGTTTGAATATTGTGGGCCAAATGGAACTTAAGTTATGCTCCGGAAACCAAATTGCTAACGTTTTCAGTTTTAAGGTCATAGTGACCTTGACCTTTGACCTTATGACCCCAAAATCAATAGAGGTCTTCTACTCAAATATGGACAATCATCCTATGAAGTTTTGAATATTGTGGGCCAAATGGAACTTAAGTTATGCTCCGGAAAACCAAATTGCTAACGGACGGACGGACAGACGGACGGACGGACGGACAGACAGACGGACGGACGCCAGGGGGTATAACATAATATGTCCGAAATTCTTTCGGGCATATAAAAATGAGAAGGATAAATACAAGACGGATACTCCATCTCCTTACAAAAGAGCAAAATCTTGCTCGAATAAGATCTCCAAAAATTGTTAAAAACAGTTCCCTAACTATCAATATTTCGCAACTATCTTCACTGGCGATGAGGCTTGGGTTTACTTTTAAGAGCACAAGCGAAGATGCATAACAAATATTGACAACCAAAGGAAGCCAAAGGACATTGCAAAACGCACCATGAGCGTCAAAAAAGGTCATGTGTGTATTTTTTTGTCCTGCTATTCAAATTGCCGTACTTAAAGGGTAAATCTGTTAATTGCAAAAATGTTCAATAGGCATGCGATGTTAGGTTGTTGCATGACAATGCTGCGTCACACAAAGCGGCCATTTTACGATAATATCTGAAACAGGAAAAGGTTGCCCAGCTTTCCTTGCCCCTTGTGACTTATTTCCGAGGCTCAAAAAACACCTACTGGAAAAATGGTCAAACGCGAAAAACCTCGGTTCTCTGCTAATTTTCTAGTGTCTGGGCAGAATACTTCGAAAATATTATGAAAACGCATTTAAAAAATTTGAATATTAGACAAAAATTTTGTATACATTTTACCACATGGTGGTATTTTGAAGGACTGAGATAATTATTTCGCACTTCTGAAATTGACCCAGTTGCATTCATATTTGAACACCCCTCGTACAAGATAAACATGGGTGTGTTTTTATTTGTTTTAAGAAATGTAACGATATTTAGTGTGACACTACAGTTTCTACGTATTTTACCTTTCACTTACTTTTCACACGACAATATCTTCCTTTGTCGACTAAATATTTTTGTCAATCCTGATGACTACCATATATTTAAAATATGACACATTATGTCAGAGCAACAAACCTATTTTCTGGCTCAAATAACGGCTTGCCCCTGATAAAAGTTTGAATCCACGCGTTATGAAATCCTTAAATTACTAGTCCGACGCGTTACCCCCCACTCGGCCACGCCCAGACTCTTATTTTTAAAACATCTAAACGCATGATAGATACATGTTAGTCACTCATTGCATGTTAGAATGGTCATTTGTAAGAATGGAACCAAATTCAACATGCTTATACATGATTTATGTCCTTTAATAACAGAAAAGTTGAAAAGTAAACTGTTTTATACATTCTGAGGGAAACCATGTGAATTGTACGACAATATTATAATACTGCTTACATTTTATCTTGACATTTCATTAACTAATCATATTCTCATTTTATGTTCTAGAGTGAACTTTCTGTAACAAAAACTTTCCCAGGCGGATAAATATCAGAATTCATGTTTCTGTTTAAATCGAAGCAAATGCATTTTAATAACTTGCACAATTCCTTATCGCTTATTATAATGCCGAAATATTTCAGCCTTAGATTAACATTGATTGGGAGCGTAGAAAAACCAAACAAAGAAGGTAAGAGTTTATTGAGTAATACGGCATTCAAGACAGCACAATATAATTGAGAATGTAAAGTAAGGCTCTCAAAATTCGGGATCAATAACTTTGCTAAAAACGAGAGCGTTGAAATTCATACTAACATAATGTTAATGCACACATTACATACTGTGAATTTTGAAAATGGTTAAGTACTCTTTTTTATTACACTGTCTATCCGGCACAGCATGCTGAATGTCCATGGAATATGATAAACAAGATCAACAAGGAAGGGCGGCGTAATACTAAAAATACCATCTCCTTCACCACTTTGCTAATAATCGCACCTTCATTGGAGGAAGTGATGAGGAGGTCTTAAATACCATACAAACGTCAAAGTAATGAAGCTAATTTTCATCTCTAATAATGATTTGGCTCCGAAACCACTCACTCATGTCGGTTGACAAAAGCTTTAGAAGAATGTACACGAAAAGCTTACTGCTCCTGTCATAATATCCTCGAAACCAATCTAGCATATACTTTGTGCATCTTCAGAGTATGTATGGGCACATTGTGGACATATCTTTCACTACACTTGTAACTTCGGAAAGGTTAAAACAGTTATTCTGTTGTAGTGGTTATTGCCGGACATCCCAGTATTCCCCGTCTGTTTCACATCCTTGTTTCCTGTTGAGTGGATAAGCTTAAACTGCTCAGCTTAATTTATCTGATTGCATCCGTGTGTCAAAACACTTGAACAACTGTGTAAGTTTGTTATACTATTATAGATTTCCTATACTGTGTTTTACACAAGCTCTCTGGCGATCATTTGATTATAATCCATGCTTGTTCATGGTCCATTAGTGACACTAACTGTTGCTTCTCTGAAATGTTTGTGCCAGGTAGCTAGTTTATTATTATAGTATGACGCCGTACAACTATGGTATAAGTGAAGACAGATTAATTATTGTGATATTTGGCGGCAATGTTTGGGAAGATGCGTTCCCTGTTACAGATAAAGTAAAAATAACCTTTTCCTAAAAAACTGCTTGTTTTTAATGATACTATTGATCACCTATAATGTGTAGAATTTTAAAACTTTGTGTACAGTCTTTACATGTTTATTTTATATTTTCAAAGAGACTGTGTGGCAACTATCAATATATTTTTATATAAAATTTGAGCATAGTATATCTTTAAAGTTTATTATCGGAAATATGTTAAAAAAATTTATATTGCAGTGACTTTAATTTTCAGGATCTATAAGAATGGCCCTTGTGCATTCAAATATACAGCAAAAACCTTGAAAATAAGAACTGTATATAAATTATAATAAACATTTTTTAAAACTATACATATATTGATGTTAGTGATTACTCGAACGGTGAACTTCATCGTAGTACTTGTAACACACAAATTTTGCCTCGATATCACAAGTTTGATAATGTTTTGTGTAGATATGTTTGTATGATGACAAGATAAAAACTTGCTTGAAATGCGCCGTTAATGTCCGCACATTTTATCACTTTTATAGAAAACTGACATGACATATAAGGAAACTTGTATATGGATATAATAATAAAACGATGCAATTTTTCTTCTCATGTTTTTTGTAAGCAAGAAAGTAAATCATAAATTTGTTGTGATAGCATTTTCATAGCCTGTGGTTTCTGATTGGCTGTTGTTGTCTGTAGAAAAAGAAAAAAGAAATAATATTAATTGTTTATTGTTTATAAAAAGAAGGTTAAAAAATAACTGACTCATAAAATTACGTTACAATGTTATATTATGTATATTTGCAATATGTAATATCATTTTCAGTATGAAGTACTTTGATTATTTTTCACAAATACTCTTAATATGAGATCTTGTGATAGTTTCTAAATTGTTAGAATTGTATTTAGTTTATCTATTTGTTTAAATCAAAAAAATATTGTCTTTAAGCTTAAGAACGAGACGCATATTTTACAATATCGTTGACTAATTATTTTCTCAAATAAAGGTGTCTGGATTCATGCCACATGAAAAGTATAAATAGTAGAGATAAAGGTTGTGAAATTACCATTAATGTTATCTAAAGTGTCGTACTCAGAGTCAGTATTGTTAATTCGAGAATCTGGAGTTGAGTATTGTGTTTTATTACTCTCGCTGTAATACAAGAAAATGAGTCAGAAATAATATGGTATAAAGCTATATATAATGAAATAAATGCAGTAAAGTCATGGTGTTTTTATAATCGGTTCTCGGCATAATTGAAACAATGCTTCATTCTGCTATTTGACGCACATGTATACTGTTTAAAAACAGAATAAAATGTTCCGTAACAAAATATTGTGCTTCTACTCTAAGACGGGTGACCATAGTTTACGAATGATTTCGTGCATGAGCCATTTGCTTTTAAATATGTTGCTCACTGTTTTTAACGTATTTTAAGTATTCTTTTTTCAAAATCTTAATAGTAATTTTCGCACTTTAGGAAATAAGTCATGAAGTTTAAAAAACTGTGCTACGGTTTAAGTTTCAACTTTCTTATATAATCCGAAATTTTCACTGATCATCATACAAATAAAATTTAAAACATATCGGTTACATATCTTTTTTTCCCAATATTTTAGAACACATACTTTTATTTTGATATTATAATCTTATGGTAAAAAATATTGGCTAAAGATCGGCTCAACTTTTTGTCGCTTAGGAGAGGACCTAACAGGAACTGTAACCGTAAATGCTTATGTGCTTGTAAACTAATTGGACTGCGTTCAGTAAATGGTGCATTTTTTTTTCTGTCAGCCATATTTCATTCTAACTGAATGATCTTTTGTACGGATCATCCAGTGGTATTACATTAGACAGTTTTCGATGTTACACAAATAGAGCACTTAACAATCCACAAACAGTCGTTACGAGAAACTTTAAATAACTTCGTCAAGATATATTAACGAAATAAAGAATAGCAGAACCACTGATTGAACATTTGTATCGCTTTGATGCATTTTGAAAATGAAACTTTCAAACAAATTTGCACCGATTACCTTGTTCTTTGTTTAAATACCAATACTACCACTGTGATAGTTAAAACAATAATGATCAGCACAGCTACTGATCCACCAACTGCTCCTGCTAAAATGTATGCATAATTTTCGTTTGGATTGCTTGGCTGGGTTCGATCGTCAATATCTTCAACTGTAAAGAATAAGATCTATGATTTAAGAATTTGTACTAAAATTCAACTTACAAAATAAATCTTTTCTGACATCTACTCGGACAAATATGCGTAGTAAACACGTATACTAGTACACGTACCGTCACCACACAAAGAACGCTCCCTACATTTATAAAACAGGCACTTAGCTGTTTACATAGCAATGGTTTTGTTGTTATGAATGATAACTGAGCGTTTATACTTAAAAGATGATATGTGTTTCTTGTCAATTATAAAGACAGTCAGTGAAAATTATATAATTTGACCTTCAAGGTCAATGTCACATACAAGTCAATGTCAATTTGAGTTTTGTTTAAATGAAGGTCCTGACCTAAAATATGTTGTGTCCTAAAATAAAGTTAATCAATAAATATCAAAGTTACAGCCAGTTACATAAAAACAAGAGATTCATTAATTTGAATTGACAGTCAAGGTCAATTTAAGGTCAAAGTCACATCTGAATAATTCAATATATTTGTTTGGTAGCCAAACTTGTTTTGTTTAAGGTTAAATTAAATCCGTAAATAAATAACAAAATTTGGACAATTTAAATAAAACTTAATAACTTGACCATGACAATCTAGGTCATTTAAACATCAAGGTCAAAGTCAGTTCAACCTTTAAAATGGTCTTGTTTAGAATGTTGTTTTTTCAAGTATGAAGATAATCCCTTTATTAATTAACAGCTTAAAGTCAATGATAGCAAAAATCTGTGACAATTCAATAATTTTAACCTTCAAGATCAAGGTCATATATATAAGAGGCAAGGTAAATTTGAGTTTAATATACGTGTGGTATAGTGGATTAAAAACGCAAAACTTGAACTTTTGCATTTTAATTATACATGTGTGTACTGCTTGTACAAGTCTCAGTTCAAAACTGAACTCCTTTCCTGGGCTTTTAGACCGCTATTCATATTGACAGCTAGCCACATAAAAATGTCAATAAAGTGTGTTTTACAAGTTATACGTAGAAAGTACTTAATCATATCCGACTTTTGACCAGTGCAATCTAAGGCTGTTTTCGTATATTGTAATATGATATATGTATATAAACATGTCATGTTTAATGTTCTTATTTTTAATGCAACTATATCTCAAAATTGTGTTTATTATATAAAATGTATGACTAATTAACCGGCAATGCAGTACGTGAAGGTATCATCCTAAAAATGTTCTGTTTTAAGATGATGTCAATCCATTCAATAATAACAAAGTTATAACGAGGTACAGCAGACAGTTCCTTGATTTCGGCATTTTCAAAATTGAACAGGTTTTCAAGGAATTCGTCTTTTACATAAGTTTTCTGGATAAATTTTGACCTTTTTGAAATTGTGTTATAAGAAAAAAAGCCCGATCCTCATGTATATTTTTGTCCTTTCCCTAAGAATTTACATGAATTTTTGACGTATTTCTTTTGACTGACGTGTTACTTATGTTAGCTTCAGTAGTATTCATTTTAGTATTCTATATAAATATATCTGTACAAGTTGTAGTTTTTACATTGGTACTTAAATTTAGAAATTGTTTGGGATATTTTTGTTGAATTGAACAATAAATGTTCAGTAGCATATACTTGTCTTTAACAGACCCTTTTACTCCATGTTTTATGAAATATTTCTGGAAAACAGTTCTAAATTGTTTTTGTAGAAACATATACCTCAAATGATTAATAATTAATATTTGTTCTAGATCGATTTATTATCTGCCATAAATTGATATGTCATATCTGGTTATGTATCTTATATTCACCACACTATCTATATATAATCTTTTCGCAGTTTATTTTCACTATGATACAAAAATAAATTGCTATCGACATAATCATTAATAAAATGACAAACCTTCCATTATGAAATTATGGGACAATTACTTTAATTCACCTCTGCTGTTACCAAGGTGAAAAGATACATAATAAGTTACCTGAGCTGGAAACACAGTAGCCCAAAGAATTGGAATAAATATACCCAGACAGACATTGACATGTTCCATATGGTTATGCAATATATTTAAATAAAAAGATCGACCAAAATAAATGTAAATACGAAACCCTGACACCAGTTTATTACTTACATTTTAAAACTAACAAAAAAACCCAATTTTTTTGAAGCAAATATTTAAGAAAGTTTGGCAAATATAGATATTGTATAACAAAATAAAAAAAACAACTGAAAAAACATGACAACATTTGTTTTGTTTCAAATAAATTCCCCCTATGTTTCTAATTGACTTATTCATACCATAAAACATCTAGAAATGTTTAACTGAAATGTCATAATCTCACACTGTCCAAATAAACGCATTAATAACTAAGTCTATCAGCTTGCTTATTTGTGTGCTTCACTGGCAGTGCCATGTACGACTGCAACCGATTGTGGAGAATATAAATTTTAAGCCTATTATAGCATTCGGCACTAAATTGCCAGTTATGTGTTGACGTGCTGTAAAAATCCAAACAAACAAACATAATATATTATTTCAGACTTTAGTTGTACCTGGGCTGAATGCTTAAATCAACTTAGAAGAGAGCAATACATACCAAAATCTGCAACACATGATGGGCCTGACTGCACATAAAATAAATCAAAGTATAATCAACTAAAAGCTAAAATACCATCAACAAAAAGGTTTAAACAGGAGGGACTATAATAAAGGCACATTCTATGTGTTGTAACACAAAAATGCATAATAATGAGCTTAAAGAAAATGTTGGTTACATACCCTATCCCCCCTCCAATTTCCCAACAACCACACTCCCAGAGAAAAAAATTTACGAAGATTTTCAATCAGATACACTTTAATTGAACTGTGTAACTATTCAAAGCAATTTCTTTACAAATTCAGCTTCATTGTGATATCACATATTTATGACCAAATCAAATTTTAAGACAGCTGGGTAAAATTATGCCCCATTTAAATTGAATAATTATGTCCAAAATATGATTGTGTAGCAGTACCTAAATGCAGACACAGTAGATTTTACTAACATCTAATCTAAATAAAGGTGATTTTGTAAGCCTTATTTTCCAACAACTGTTAACATTACCTGAGCTTATTACACAGTAACCCAGCGACCTTGAATAAGTGTATGCAGAGATACACTGACATGTTCCACTAGTACAAGCAGCATTGGTTGGGCAAGTTCTTGTAGGATTTATGCAAGCTTGGTTAATTCCACCTTAAATATGCAACATTTTTATAAGCTTTTATAAATAATGATCTAGCCGGGTAAAAGCCAAATTTCGTAATTTATGATATTTCTGTACAGGATACAAATGTGAAGGTAAAAATAAAAATCCACATCATGCATACTTATAATGGTGACAGAGTTGACACTATAAATAAAAAGCTGTGTTTACTGATAAAAACTAAGAATAAAATAACATTAAGATTAAATTCAATTTATGATTTAATGTGTCATAGATATATCCCCCCCTTAAATTAAAGAAATGCTAGCTAACCTACACTGCCTACCTTTATATTGCCATCCAAAAACCTAACCCCTACTTGTTTTGTAAACAGAAAGTCTTTTTTACAGGAGTTGTGAGCATTACCTGAGATTATTACACAGTAACTCAGTAAGCTTTAATATATGTACCCAGAGTTAAACTGACATGTTCCACTAGTACAGCCAGCATTGGTAGGGCATGTTCTTTTTGGATTTGTGCAAGCTTGGTTAATTCCAGCTAAAACAATTCACATTTTCTAACATATATTATAATCTAGCAAGGGTTGTGAAATTCAAATCATATAATCTAGGAAAAGCTAAAATACTATAATGAACTATACTTTAGTGTGTAAAGGGAAGAGACAAAAATCAAGCAGGTGTGATAGTGATACTTAGATGAATTTAATAAAATTTAAAATAAGCTGGTTACATACGGTTTCATGATATTAAGGGTGGTGAAATTCAAATCCTACACTATAGGAAAAGTTAAATACCATTATGAACTATACTTAAAGTGTTAAGTGGGAAAAACTATTGTTAAGACAAAAATCAAACATGTATGTTACATAAATGAATCAAATAAGTTTTAAAACAAGCTTGTTACTGAATTACACATGGTTTTAATGATTTTACCCCTTCCACCTTAACTAAATTAACTAAATTGTATAACTATTTATAGCAGTTTTTGCCTTTAATCATTTTTGGTACTTTTTTCAGAAATTAATGTATTCATTTCAATTCAATTATGAGATTGTAATTAAATTATACCCAATTGAGACTGGGCAGCTTTATTGACTTTTTCACTGGAAGAGCCACACTAACACTTACAAAGAAGATAGATTTTTACAAACATAATGAACATTACCTAAGCTTGATACACAGTTACCCAAAGAGCTTGAATAAGTGTACCCAGAATTACATTGACATGTTCCACTTATACAACCAGCATTGGTTGGGCATGACCTTGATGGGTTCATGCAAGCTTGGTTAATGCCAGCTAAAATAATCAACATTTATTTTCTTACGTATACTATAATCTAGCAGGTTATGTAAAATTGAATGAAATATAAAGTAAGGAAAGCAAAAAAAAAATAATAAAAAAAACTATACTTAATGGTAAAGGGAAGGAAAACATTTGAAAGACGAAATACTTAATGATATTATACATACACTAGCACTGGATAAAACACTAAAATGTGATTTATAACTTTCTAGAAAGGCCCTGAAAAATTAATCAGTGAGGATTTCCTACAAGTATCCCTAAATTTAAAATATGTAAAAGCTTTGAGAGATTGATTATACTATGTGCATAATTTGAATTCTTTTGATATGACCAAAACATACAAGATGTGTAACTACTTTGACTATTTCACTGTAAAGTAGAATGATTTATAAAGTAAACAAACATATTGAAAATCATTTGTAAAATATAATGTACAAAGATTCTGTATATTACCTAACGTTGATATACAGTAACCTAAAGAGCTTGAATAAGTGTACCCAGAGTTACACTGACATGTTCCACTAGTACAGGCAGCATTGGCTGGACATGACCTTGATTGGTTTGTGCAAGCTTGGTTAATTCCAGCTAAAATAATCAACATTGTAATTTTGGGTAACATATGATAATCTGGCTATAGTAAGTTTGTCATATTGATTGAAAGCTAAATTTCATACATTATCATACTAAAAGGATAAAAGTTGCAAAGTCTAGCAAAGGGTATAAAACTAAAATATATTTGATAAAGAATTTTGAGACAAATATCATTATATATTAACTAAATGGTAAAAAAAGGAAAAGGGAAAATTGTAAACAAAAAAAAATCTGGAGAAGATGAAAAACTAAAATCTGTGTAATAATAATATTCCCATAACAGAAAACAAGTGGAGCATGTTTGCCCATAATGCAACTACGTGACGTTCTTGAGAGATTCTCAATCAAGTACCCCAAACTACTTTCATTTTGAAATATTTTCACTAAGTTATGTCTAGCTATGCCTAAAATTTATTTGGCTAATATTTTTACTACTTATTTGTTAAAGCATTAATACACAGCAAAATGGATTAAACAAAGAAAATGTGTAAAACAAAAGTTCTCAAATGAACATGATTTTACAAACATTGTGAACATTACCTGAGCTTGCTATACAGTAACCTAAAGAGCTTGAATATGTGTACCCAGACAGACATTGGCATATTCCACTATTACACGCAGCATTGGTTGGACATGACCTTGATGGGTTTATGCAAGCTTGGTTAATGCCAGCTAAAATAATCAACATTTATTTTCTAACGTTTACTATAATCTAGCAGGTGATGTAAAATTGAATGAAATATAAAGTAAAGAAAGCAAAAAAAAAAATAAATAAATAAACTATACTTAAGGGTAAAGGGAAGGAAAACATTTGAAAGACGAAATACTTCATGATATTATACATACACTAGCACTGGATAAAACACTAAAATGTGATTTATAACTTTCTAGAAAGGCCCTGAAAAATTAATCAGTGAGGATTTCCTACAAGTATCCCTAAATTTAAAATATGAAAAAGCTTTGAGAGATTGATTATATTATGTGCATAATTTGAATTATTTTGATATGACCAAAACATACAAGATGTGTAACTACTTTGACTATTTCACTGTAAAGTAGAATGATTTATAAAGTAAACAAACATATTGAAAATCATTTATAAAATTGAATGTACAAAGATTCTGTATATTACCTAACATTGATATACAGTAACCTAAAGAACTTGAATAAGTGTACCCAGAGTTACACTGACATGTTCCACTAGTACAGGCAGCATTGGTTGGACATGACCTTGATGGGTTTGTGCAAGCTTGGTTAATTCCAGCTAAAATAATCAACATTGTAATTTTGGGTAACATATGATAATCTGGCCATAGTAAGTTTGTCATATTGATTGAAAGCTAAATTTCAAACATTATCATACTAAAAGGATAAAAGTTGCAAAGTCTAGCAAAGGGTTTAAACCTAAAATATATTTAATAAAGAATTTTGAGACAAATATCATTATATATGCATTAAATGGTAAAGAAAAGAAAAGGGAAAAATGTAAACCTAAATTTTTTTTTAGAAAAGATGAAAAACTAAAATCTGTGTAATAATAATATCCCCATAATAGAAAACAAGTGGATTATGTTTGCCCATCATGCAACTACGTGACGTTCTTGAGAGACTCTCAATCAAGTACCCCAAACTACTTTCATTTTGAAATATTTTCACTAAGTTATGTCTAGCTATGCCTAAAATTTATTTGGCTAATATTTTTTACAACTTATTTGTTAAAGCATTAACACACAGCAAAATGGATTAAACAAAGAAAATGTGTAAAACAAAAGTTCTCAAATGAACATGATTTTACAAACATTGTGAACATTACCTGAGCTTGCTATACAGTAACCTAAAGAGCTTGAATATGTGTACCCAGAAAGACATTGGCATATTCCACTAGTACAGGCAGCATTGTTTGGACATGACCTTGATGTGTTTATGCATGTTTCACCAATTCCGGCTTAAATAACGAATATTGTAATATTCTATCATATATTATATTCTAGCAGGCATTGTTAAAGTACTATACAATATATAAGCTTCTCGCCACAGTTTGATTTATAGTATTTCCTTAACATTTTTCAAGTGATTGTTAGAAGGTAATTTTTTGTGGTGTATAAAATATTATTCAATCCTTTCTACACAAAGTATTTTAAATAGGCTTGTCCAACTTTCAATCTGGGCAAAACTATTTATTATTTTTAGGGAAAATTTCAGAAAATGTACCTACTGAATAGTGAATATTGCAAACCATGATCAGACAGCTTCGTCTTTTATGCACCTAGCAGACTAAGAGTTATATCTAAAGGCATGCCAAATATTACAGCACTAAGGGAATAAAACAAGGACAACAAATGTAATACAAAATCTAGCCGGAGCTGGAAACAATGAATGAAAATTTACCTGCATTGGCAACACAGTAACCAAGAGAGCTTGAATAAGTGTACCCAGACAGACATTGACATGTTCCACTGGAACAGGCAGCGTTGGTTGGGCAAGTCCTTGTTGGATTTGTGCAAGGTTCGTTAATTCCAACTGAAATGAAATAAGAAACGTTTTAGCACTGAATTCAATTTATGTCAAGGTTTATATTTATGAACAAATTTGAGATAGGACAAGCCAAAGATGTTTGATACTAAATGCATGTACTATCAAGATAGTTATTTATGGTATTTCAGACCTCATATTATAGACCAATTCACTTTAAACCTTTGGTTGTGACAAAGCTGAAAAGATGGATTACAATGTTACCTGAGTTTGATACACAATAACCTAAAGAACTTGAATAAGTGTACCCAGACAGACATTGACATGTTCCACTAGTACAGCCAGCATTGGTTGGGCAAGTTCTTGTTGGATTTGTGCAAGCTTGGTTAATTCCAGCTGAAAGTAAAACATAAACATGTATGGTTAGCAACTACATAAAAACTTACTATTTGTGTTTAAAGTTTATCGGACCTGTATATATGTTAAAAAAATGAAAAAATATGAAGATGGTAAAATGATTATGAACAGAATTGATACTTATATAGAGAATTCAAAATGAAATCCTCAAAGAAAAAAGGGAAAGAAATAAAACAATGTCTAGGGTTGTTAAACAAAAGCCTTCAAGATGGTAAGCATAACTGCTAGCAAACCTTGCTGTACACAGCTTACAAAACATTCATGTACATATGTCATAACACTCTGTCAATTATGCATGCATTATATAGCATACAGTTCAATATCTAATTAAACCAACCATAGTTTACTGTATACCAAACATTTGAAATATATACATACATTGTACATATAAATATATTCAATTGCATTGTCCTAAGTTAACATCAAACAAAAAAAACAAAACAAAAAAAACGTTCAATGCTATATGTATGATTAGTGCTAACAATATGTTCAGTAATTGGACAATACTTATTTATGATTTAACTTGTTCCGTTTATTAAAACTATTGTTGTTCAAGATTATGAGAATCTCCATAAATAAAAATTACATCCTGAATTATTAGGAAGGGTTCAAACATTTCAAGATTAATATACAATGCACCAAAAATCATGTTAAATTTCAAAACAAACGGTATAATATAAGAAAATTTCTGCAATCTACAGGTTTATACATTACAAGTTTGCTACTAATTGTCAATTAATAAAGCAATAAAAATCTGATACTGTGAAATCATTAACTTTGTGTGGTTATCCATTTCTTTTAAGTTCCCCTAGTATGACACTGTATGATAGACTTATATAACCCCACAACCACCCCCACCCCTCATTGACATTGCCATCTCTAATGTTTAACCCACTAAATTTGTATAATAGACTTTCCCAGTTTTAAATTTGGAACAGTCCATAAGTGGTTTAAAGGATTTCAATATCAAAAGTACTAAATTGGAGCATCCCAAAAGCACCCATTACTACTCTATGCCTGGCCAAAATGCACAGATGTGTTGGCTGGCTTGGCTACATACTAGTAGCAAGGGTTAATAGCTTTTGGTTTAAACAGGTTATATGCTAAACCTAACATACATTGTAATACCATGTTGCTTTTATATGATAGTTGGGTAATTAAACCAATCAGCCTTTTATAAGTACCTTTTAATGAATATCATAATAACATAACAATTTCACAGTATTAAGCTGCTATCAAACATATATATGTACTAGCATTTTACTATGTAATAGTTTATTTCTACTAGGTTAATTTTTCAAAATATATTGTAAAACCTTTAACCATCTATACATTTTTATATATGTAATACATTTTACAATCTTACTGAGTAAAATAAGCACTCAATCACCAGCAGCTTTGTAACGACTGAGGGGAAAATATTATTACCTATATACATAATATAAACTATACTTTATGTTTTAATTGTGCTAGCTTGTATTCAACATATATTATTAAGCAGTCTCATTGCTCTATGAGTAAAAGCAGTCATGCATTAAAACAACAGGTAATCATATTCAACACAACCTTTCCTCCAGAGGTTACAATGCATTAATTATTCACTTCGCTGACATGCAAAAAGTACATGTATTTCATGAGCAGTTTCCGAGATTCCAAAACTGTCAAGATTGGAATATTATCAATATGAGCCGCGTCAGGACAAAACCAACATAATAGGTTTGCGACCAGCATGGATCCATGCTGTTTGCTTACCAACCCTTTTACAAGTAGAAAAACTGACAGCGAACAGCATGGATCCTCATCAGACTGCGCGGATGCACAGGCTGGTCTGGATCCATGCTGGTCGCAAACGCACAATGTTGGTTTTACCATGACGCGGCTCATACATTGTTTGATCTTAATTCCTATATAGTTTTGGATGTATGAACAGATGATGCTTAAGCAATGGTTCTTAAGGTATGATCCACCTAATGCATTACCTCCACTTTGAAGAGTATTCAAATAGGCTAGAACTACTGTCAACTGCATTGTAACTGAGGGGCATGGGTTCAAACCTCAGAAGCGGCAACATTTTTTCATTTTTTTTTCCTTTGAACATTTTTTGTGTCTCTCATATCACTCTTGAGAAGAAAAAAGTGTTTCATTTTAATTATGAAATTATTATTGGTATTTATTGGCTAAATTGTGCCAAATTTTTTTATCAAATATGGTACCTCATATTTTCAAAGTCTAATAAAAATAAAAAACACGGTAAAAGTATTTTATATTTGACAAGCGCAACCAATATACATTGTACTTTTAAGAAAATTTATGCAAACTTTGAAAACAGCCCCTGATTTGAGTAAATTTTAGGGATATTTTGAATAAGGCCCTTCAAGTAGAAAAATGATCAAACAAGTACTTAAAATGGGTGGGATAGGGTAACATTTATATACATATTTCAAACATTTTGAGTAGAAACAATAATTTTGTTGGGTCATTTGTTAGCTGCATGCTACTATTTGTTTCTTAAAAATGTTCTATAGGAAAACATTGTTTCATAATGATTATAAAATAGAATATTTAGAGTTTCTCATTTCTGAAAAAGAGCCCTTCTAATAGCAAAGTTTTACTTAAGAAAAATCTCCAAAACACGTAAACCATACGTTACACTTTGTTTAAATTTTGCATTCTTGTGACTTTTAAGGTTTATAATTGACCTATGTTGTCAATTTTACAGTTCCTTATAGTGCCCATTAGGAGGCTCATACCTTAACTACTTAGGCTACGTTATTGCTGGAAGTCCATGTCAAAACTTTTGATCTCCTAAAGTATTCATCTATAATTAAACATTGCAAAGAATACTAAAAGACAATTTCTTTTTTTTAACTTGGTTGACACTGTTAAATGATCAAGTTGTCAAGCTGTTGTAAAGAATGTTTTGATAATCTGATAAACTGTGTGGCCTTGCAACCATTTGAAAAAGCAAGACCTTGATTACAGTTTTTAAATCACCTATTAGACAAATTGCTTTGCAAACTACTGCTCTATGATTATTGATATAATAAAATCAGCATTTTGTTTTGTTTTGATCTTTGAACAAAACAGTGCTTTTAAAATGATTATTTGTTTATTCTTTTGTAAGATTTCCAACTATTTAACAAAACATAAATATGTTATGTGTAATACAAATACAAATATGTTACGTCTAATTCAGGTAAGTTTAAAAGTAAAACATATTTTTTATAATACAAGTAATTGATATGCCATCAAACAAACTAACTTAGGCCTAAAATGCCTAACCTTCTTCAGAAAAGTCATGGTGAGCAAGACAGTACAAATATTTTCCCGTTATCCAAAGCTATATGTTTTTAGGGTGACACATGCAATCTTACCTGGAGTTATTACACAAACAGATCCCGATCTAGAGTAACCAGTATTACACACACATATACTACCATTACAATTTGAGTTAATTATATAACATGTTCGTGTAGGACTCACACACGATTCTCCTAAAAATGCTGTAACACAAAAACACCACTTTTGTCTCAACTGATCATCTATAAAAGGAAAAAGCCATGCTCCAATATAACACATAATGAGCATGCTCCTCTTTAATAACATTAAGATCTAAATATAACATAATGATGATTTAACTGATCATCTTTAAGCATGCTTTGTTATAACACATTTAGAATTTAAACATGGTTTTATTTGACCTGAATGGTTTACCTTTTGGAGGAGCAAGCGCATAAATATATTTATATTTTGATTGGTCATCTTTAAAAGGAAGCTGAAAATGACATGCCTCACAATAACATATATAGCAATAGAGCATGACTTGTTACGTACAAATGTTAATCTAAGGGGATTGAAAAAAACCCATAGCAGTTGCACTGTCCATTGTGAGCATTTTAAAACATTGCCTAGCAGTGAGCGCGTCAAGCAGTGTCACAATATTACCAAAATGATAAACATAAATAAACAATAAACCTGGTTTTCAACAAACATAATATATGTGCAAAAAAGGGCCATCAAAATTTTTTGCCAAAAATGGTCAAATTATAAAATCCTAACAAAATGAGCCTGATGAGGTTTTTTGTTAAACTTGGTGCCTCTCAGAGTCACTTATTCAAAAACTTTCTATCAGAGACATTAATTCAAAAACTTATCTATTCCAAAGGCAACCTGCCAGCCCATCAATCGACATTTACCAATCTAATTAACAGAATCTAATTAACAGAATATTTCATTGGAACCCTTGTTTATTAAATATTAATCTTGCATGTTAGATATTTTGTGTCGGTCATGTCCGCACTTACAGAGAATTTATAACTAGAAAACATAATCCGTAACAAAGTTTTAGAAAATAAATGGTGAGCAAAAGGCAAAATAAACTTTCCTGTAAAAGTGCAGCAGTGCTTTAATATTTTGATTAACAAAGTGAAAATTATTTGAAATCTACTCTTTGATCCACCAATTTGTATTAATAGAATGATGTCATGTCAATTTCTCAGATCAAGTTTATTCCTTACATTATAAGCAAATACTATAGTATAATACCCTGGCCAACCCACCCCTTTGTTTTTGAAACAATCAATGATTACTTTAAGGGTTTTAATATTTTAGATTATGCTTGGGGCAACAATTTAACCAATTATAAAAGAAACATTTGGTGGATCAAAGTGCAGTTAAATGGGTGATATAGAAAAGATATATGCTTGTTAGTAAGTTACTCTAAATATAAATTTATAACAAACTTTCAATAATAATAAGCTCTAAAGAGGAAAACATCTAAAAAATTGACTCTTATAAATAAGGATATCTGCATGCATAATTATGATGTATAATTGTTAAGGTTGTCTAGGATAATGTGACAGTGAGGATTTATTAAAATGTTTATTATCATTATTTATTTTGACCAGAAGGTATACATTATATATCTGCCAAAATTGTTGCTAATATCATCATATGGTCAAATGATAATTAAGTAGCAG